CGCCTGGGTGGCTCAGTCATTAAGCGTCTGTCTTCGGCTCAGGTCACGATCCCAGGGTCCTGGGATTGAGCCCCACATTGGGCTCCCTGCTCAGCGGGAAGACTGCTTCTCCCTCTCTCACTCCCCCTGCTTGTGTTCCCTATCAAATAAATAAATAAAATATTTTAGAAAAAAACTTCATATAAACAAGCTTATAGTATGTATGCTTTTGTGTCTTGCTTATTTGACTCAGCATCCTATTTTTGAGATTCATCCATATTGTAGCTCTGTGTTGTGTATCAGTAGTATGCTCCTTTTTATTACAGAGACGTATTCCATTGGCCATAATTTACAATTTACTGATTCATTCACCCATTGACAGACATTTGGTTATTTCTTGCTTGGGGCTATTGTGAATAAAGCTGCTATAAACATTAAAAAAAGAAATAATCCATTCAAATTTTCTTTGGGAAAAAATATGAGAATAATATTTAAAAACAAAAATGTAATATTTAAGTCATACTCATGGTAGCATACAAAGAATCTGAAATAACTTATTTACTCTAAAGTATGTTCTAAACATAAAATAATTAGAAATAATAATAATAGTTTAAATAGGAAACAAAACTCAGGTATTAAGTACATTTTATTCACTGGCTATATGTACATTTCTCTTTAGACTCCCGAGGGTACTGCATTTTCCAAGTTTAGAGCTGGGTGCCTCAGGCTTTATCTTGCCACTTTTATGTGATTTTCATTTTACTGTATTTATTAATACAGCTATCATAGAAACCACAAGAAAACCTCCTTATTGCTGAAAACAGACTGTCCCAACTTTATATTTTTTAAGACACAATTATCAGTAGTGTAATTCATGTCTTGCACTGATCTTGGGAATGAAATTGATCAATAAGTTGTCTTTGTATATCAATACATATATGGATGCTATTTTCTTTTAAACAAACGTATAGTAATTAGACACATTTTTATATGATTTTGATTATTGCAATTGATTGCTAAAGAAAGAAACCAAAAGTCTATTTTTTCAAGTATGAATTACAAATTACCCTTTTAATCAGTGTTATTGTACAGGCATCTCTCAAAATATTCACAGACTAATTACACATTTTATAGATTACAGAAGCCCAGAAGTTTCTTGTCCCTTTCAGTGACTTGCCCTTTAGAAAAGTTCACTGTTGATTAGCACCATTGTAAGAGCAGGGGACTTCAAAGCCTTCTAAACACACATTGGTTAATAAATGCTGGCTATCAGTGATTCAGCTAAAACATAAAATAAAATCTTGATGAAGAGTGATTAAAAATACAGACCAAATTGAGATTCATGGATTATGTGTGGTTTTTGTTTATTAATTCCTGCTGAGTATTTATGTTTCCTTTGAACTCCATTAGCAGGAAAAATTTTAAAAATTCTGAAATTTTAAATTCTTCGTGATTCTGTTTCCTACTTGTTTGTCATATATTCATTTCAACATTTCATAAAGCACTAGAGTACTTCTAAATTTTTGCTTGATTGTAATGTAGAGGAGTATTCTAATACATTCAACTATAAACTTTCTTCACATTAAAATATTTTAACAATCTCATGATTCTATAGCATAATATTCGTATCATACCAAGTGATGTTCTTGCAGGTACTGCATCTTTATTGATCCAAAAAGACACCCAGGAAAGAACAACTGTCAGGATACATGGAATGTAGGTTTGAATAGTGAAATATCCCATTCGTCTGCTCAGGTCAAAAAAAATTGTCATGATAATATAATCCCCTGGAAGAAAAAAAACAGTTTTATTTTTGCTATTAAAATATATAAAAGTATAGATTCCAACCTATAATTTAAATCCATAGTCATTTGATGCTAGCATCATTCAGTGATTGGTGTTTCCTTCTTACCAGAGATTGTGTGAGAAATTTCAGTTGAGTTCCGTAACCCTACAAATGCAAACTGATATAATCTCCAGTATTTAGGATCAGCCACTTCTACAGAAGGTTTTTTCCACTTATACTCAATTTCATTTTTAGGGTACCCATCTAGATAAAATTAAAATAAAAATATATGGATTAGCAAGATTCAAGTCTGTTACTGTTACAATACCAATATTATTCCCAGGCAAGTTCTTTGAAATTCATGTTTGTATTATAGGTATGTCAAATATAGAAAACATGGCATAAAATATATGTGTATAGTTTAAAAATCATATAATGATTAAATAATGATAATCCATGTAACTCCACTTAAATAAAAAAATAGAATCATGCTAGTGTCTCGGAAAACTCATGTGTCCACCCCTATATAGTAGTCCCTCTTGTAAATAGAGGTAACCACTAACTTGATTTCTGTGATAATCCTTCCCTTGTGTTTTGATTATAGATTTTCTGATATGCATTTCTGAAACATATAGCTTATTTTAGGTTCTTTTGAATTCTACTTGATTGTTGCCATACTAGATGCATTACTTTATATTTTACTTCTTTTGATATGATATTTGTAGTAGTCATCCGTGCTAATGTATGTAGCTTTAGTAAATTTGTTCCAGCATAAAGATGTACTGAAATTTATCTATTTTACTGTCGTAGACACCTATAATGTTTCCTTTTGGTCAATAAGAACATTGCTACTAGTAACATTACTATACATGCCTCACAAAATACATAGTGCAAGTTTCTCTGGGATCTATACCTAGGTATGGAATAGCTGGGGTCATAGATTGCATATAATTTCTACTTTATGAGACAGTGCCAATCTTCTTTTCATAAAGAGTATACCAATAAATTCTCTCACCAGCCAGAGTATGAAAGTATACTTGGATCCATATTCTCATTTAACTTGATGTGGACAGTCTATTTTTACTGGTCTGTAAGCTAATTTTATTTCACATTTTCCTGATTATGAATGAAACAGTCATTTTTTCATATGTTTATTAGATTCTTAGGTTTCTTCTTTGGAGAATTGCTTGTTGAATCACCTATTCCTTTATTGGGCTTTCTTTCTCTCTCTCTCTCTGTCTTTCTCTTTTTGGTCTGAATTAGTTATATAACCTGAATACTAGATCTTTGTTAGTAATTTGTGTTGAAAATGTCTTTTTCATCTTGGAAGTTGCTTAGCATGGAGGTGTATTCTTTCAAAAAAAAATTTTTTTTCTGCCACATGTCAGAAAAATCCACAGGGACTTTTCAAAGTAATCAAGTGACGGAAATTTGGGCTACAAATTCATGTGAAGGTGGGTTTGTAATTATATCCTCTCAAGGAATTACTTCACCCTAGTATGCTGATTGCAGAGGCAACTCTTCTTTTAGACTTTAGTATGTTTGTACATACATACACATGTGTGTGTTGCTTCTCCATGTTACCTTAAGCATCCAGCCTTTGTAACCCAGCTGCATGTAGAAATTATGTAATATTAGAACCCTAATCCACAAGGCTGTCAAAGTCAAAGCTCAAATTTACCTTGTTTGGCAAATGTCCTTGGGTCAAAAGTGACTATAAACCTTTCTGGCTTAATTTTTTATGCTTCAATTCCTTCTTGGTAATTTCACTTACGTGTTTTTGAGAAGATTTTTAATAATATAAAGTTTTAAATTGTTTTCAACAGAAGAATTGGTCTACTACATTATAGGAACAGAATTCACTATCAACTTCAAAAATTTTCAAAACATTGTATCACTTTGTACCAGGATATCCTCATCAGCCATTCAATGAAATAGCTCATCTCTCCACTAACCTATTAAAAATCTGTTCTCTCTTTTCTTTTTTCATGTCTTCTTTCTTGTTCTATCAGGCTCTAACCTTCCTGCTTTTCCATAATTTGTATTTTTTTAAATTATCATTATCAATGCAATAGAATATAGTCATAGTATATGAGTGTGTGCACTGAAAAAAATAGTGAGCTCGTTACTTAACTATTCTAAATTTAATGATATTGACTTTTTAAATGGGGATGTATTGAAATCTTTTGAATATATTTGTTGTGAAATTAGGCATAGAAACCTTAATTCTCTGCTGCATCCATGTAGAATACCTCAAAAGTTAGCTATGATTATTATATTTATGTCAGTGATAACCAATTGGATTCATAGAGACAGATTATTAATTTCTAGCAATGACAATCAAAGCCAAAGAGATATCACACCAAGAATTTAGTTATGGTGTCTAGGAGGCAAGTACAATAATTGCTAGATTTTCAAATATTTGCATTTCAACTATTCCTTGAGTGCTTGGATTAATCAAGTCTTTGTTATGATTTGGCTGTTTTACTCATTGAGAAGTTAATGTTAGAAAATTAAAGCAGTGAGATAGATTATAAATTTAAAAGGACATTTTAATGAGGCAAAAATCTTTAAGAAAAGTCAAGAAAATCATTAATAAAAGCAACAAGAGATATTTGGGAATTTTGTAAGTGAAGAAGCAGGATAATACTGGTGAATATATAAAATCTACAGTGAATAAACTTTAGAATGTGATATATTAAGAAGTCAAGTTTCAATAGAAGGAAAATAGCAGACAATTTGTGTATATAGGCAATAACATTTTTTAAATGCATTTTACATGTTTTCAAGACTTGTTCAATTATATATTATCTAGAAAAACATTTTTATAAAAATATATGTAAACAATAAATGTGAAATAAAATTGATATTCATATACAAAGATAATTATTTTCTTGGAACAAAATACTCTTTATATTCAAATTATTTAGCTCTAATCATTTCTCTGTGTTTCAATCTTTCTTTTGAATAAAATAAGCTTATTTCTACCTTGATTTTTCCAATTCATTAAAGTCTTCTCAAAGATTTGCTATTCATGCAGTAAATATTATTCACCAAACCAATCTTTGAAACATATTTTAAGATCCAATATAATAAAGTTAAATCTTGCCTCAGGGAGATGAATAAAATTTGAAACAATATTTTATTCATGGCAGTGTTAAAACATTTGAACACAAACCTATCTTCAGGACTACTTTATTTAATCAAAATAGGAAAAAGACACTGGATAAAACCAAAATTGTGAGCAAAAATATAATTAAATATATACATTTACTATGCATTTATTTTCACTTTTTAATTTAAAAGCAAGAAAAATACGTCATTTGTAACTGTTTTATCTGAGAGACGAACATAATCCACACTTCTGAAAATTATATGTTATATTTTATCTCATTTTATTTTACATTTTTAAATAAACAGAGTCTGAGGCTGAAATTCTATGAAATTATAACATATTTTGTCACTTACAGCTTGAAAATTCCAGTGGGCAAGAATGTTCATCCATAGGAAAGTTATGAAGCTGAAGATAACATTCTGCATTGATTGTCAATCTATTTAAATAAAAAAATAAATATTAAATATAAGAAATAATTTCAAGCATTAAAAATCCTTTGTCTAATTTTCAAGAATGATTTTGGCCTACATTAACAGACTGTGATATATTAGAAAATAATAATAATTGTAATGTCTCAAAGTTTTAAGTGGTGATATTATAGCATTCACAAGTGAGTAAGAAAATTCTAACATTTTCCTCTCCAGCCAACTAAGCTGCCACTGTATATATTTCAGTATAATTTCTGTTTACAGTTAAAAATTTATACTTCAGGATCACAACAAACACACACACACAATTAACAGAGTATACATGGTTAAGCATGGTGATTGTTTTCTCTTAAATTTTCATGAACTTCTCTCCATTAAGGATGATTCTTAATAAGATTGGGATGATTCTTGATATGTTAAGATATGTTCAAGACAATGAATTAAACTTGAATCTTCTTTTAATCCTTTCTGAAGAGTGTTTTACTACATTATTGAATTTTATAGCAGGATTGACTCTTAGAGAAAATCTCAGTCAACCATTTGCATTATGGGTTAAAACACATAATGGTCACACCACACCTTCCTATGTTTCAGAGGAGATTTTTTTTCTTTGCTTTTAGTCCCTTTCACATACCAGTTACTCTGAGCTTAAAAAAAGAAAGTTTCCAAAATATTCCACCACTTTAAATTTTAGTGTATGAAAGGAACTCCATATTTCTTTCTTTGTAAAACTGAAAAAGGAAAATTTGCGAATTGATCAAGTATTAGTATGGAAAATGAATTAGAACAACTACATTTTTTTAAATAGTATTACCTCAGAGTATATAGAACTCGTCCATCATTCCAAATTCGAAGCAGACGATTAGGAGTTGTTATCCAATGTGCATCAGATTTTCTTGAGTTTCTGAAGAACGTGTCAGGAATCCAAATTTTCCCTACCATATTACTGTTAAGCATAAGCACTTTCATGGTACTGTTGAATTTTAAACGACTGTCAAACCAGGTTTGGGCAAAAATTATATCTATTGTGTATTCCTGAAAGATAAAAAGAAGGGTAACAGCCTATAATAGTAAAGTCACTATTTTAGATGTTTTCTTCAGATGTTTAAATTTTTACATCATAAAGTTTCCGTAAGTAAATAGCTGTTAAACTCAGTCCTTTCAAATAAAAAAGTATGCCATTATCTTAACCTTCCTCTTTGTTTACCTGAGTCATATAAAATAAAATCCAAAATTTCTAATAATAACTGCTTCCATCGTGGCTTTATAATTGTTTTGTAATTTTACTCAAGATTTTATAATATGTGGGATATTGCCCCACATATTATAAATATAATATAAAATATAAAATATTTTATTTTATTATATAAACTATAAAAGCAAATTATCTTAATGTTAACAACTATATTAATTTTTGTGATATTTACATGAAGTTGAAGTTAAAAAAAATCACAAATAAGTACAAAATCAAGATGCAAATACTCACCAAATTATCTTAAAAGATCTCATATTGTCTTTTGTCCAAAAAAATTAATTACAATTATGTAGATCCATCGTTTTCAAATGTTTCAAAACAATCACACACATGCACACACCGCTATGAAGTGGGTATAACATGCCAAGTATTATGTTGAGTTTAGTACATAACCTGTCATTAAAGCCTCACTGCAACCCTGTGAAATAAGTACTGCTATAATTTTTATTTTTAAATCACATTTATTGAGCAATACAGAAGTAAAATAATTCTCCCCCCATCACAGAGGTAAATAAGCAGATGATAAGGAGACTGAGTCACCCCAGGCTGAATCCCAAATCCACATCCACAACAACCACATATATTGGTGGTCCTAGTGGAGCCTGATGGGGCCAGGATTAGAACACAGGCTATGCCCATTATCAGCAAGTGACTGTAAACAGGAAATTGCATGCTTCCGAGAGAACCTTCAAGGGAGTGATTAGATATTACCTACCTTTGCATCCTGACAAAATGCCTGCCATATTATAAGCATTAAAATTGATTTGATAAAATTAATGAATAAGAATGCAGTAATTATCAATGCTATTGAGGAAAGTAATTATATGCATGTGTGTGTATAACTTTGATATTAAGAGAGAAATAAAAGAGTAAATTGAAAAATATGAGGTATTATATGAGTTACTTGTGGTGAGAAAGATTGGTTGCTCATTCCTGATATAATGCCAGCAACTGGCCAATTTACCTGGATGGACATATTTAGTATAAGAAATGGAAGTTTAATTGAGAGTTTGACGAATGAAGATTTGAAAAAAGGTAAGGAGAATAATAAATAAACAGACTGGAGTCAACTTGTTAATAGGGGAGTTGCATCAAATCCTAATTTCCAGGCAGAATATTTATAATTGTAATTTACGTGACTAGAATGTGAGGAAATAGAAAAGAGAAAGAATATAGACTAGAAAGGAAAACCTTCTTTTATGTATTTTGTTTTTTCTTTTTATTTATTTATTGAATAAATTTGACATGTAACATTATGTAATTTTCAGGTGTATAGCATACAGCATACATAAAGTTACTTCGATACATTTATATACTGTGATCGGATTGCCACTGTAGCAATATTTATCATATTACATAATTACGGTACATTACTGTCTATATTCATTATACTGTACATTCGATCTCTATGGCTTATTTCCTTATTACAAGTTTGTATCCTTAAACACCATCATTTTATCCACTTTGGATGAACAGTGTCGCAATTTGGGAAAAGCACATACATATTAATAATTATTTAAAATCCAACAAAGCCCTAGACATTATGCAGTTGAGTATGATATGTGCTTTATAAAGGGGTTAAGCAATATAGATAAACTACTATGAATAATTTTTTTATAAAATATATTTTTTAAAGATTTTATTTATTTATTTATTTGACAGACAGAGAGAGAGAGAGCACAAGCAGCGGGAGCAGAAGGCAGAGGGAGAGGGAGAAGCAGGCCTCCCGCTGAGCAGGGAGCCCGATGCGGGGCTCGATCCCAGGACCCTGGGACCATGATCTGAGCCGAAGGCAGACACTTAATGACTGAGCCACCCAGGCGCCCCTACTATGAATAATTTGTCCATATTATAACGTAACGTGAGCATTCAGTATTCTATCCATATATTTAGCCTCTACTGTGTGTCATTGTTTTGCATGGATGTAAAGACATAAAGTCCTTAAGCACAAAAACACTTGCACCATGATCCCCTCCTGACATAGTCTTGATTGCCATGAGGTTGCCAGAATGATTTAGAGAGAGAGATGACGAAAATTTCGTTTCTTCCAACTTGGTATGGAATGGCACAGAATCAAGTTGTGCTGTGGCATGGAGGTTGAAGGTGCTTCTGCAAGCAGGTAAGCCCTATTACATTCCATAGCCACCAACTTGCTGATGTCCTATCCATAATTCAAGCTGAGTGGTAATGCAAAACGTATCTCATAATACATAATAATGAAGTATATTTATTCTGTAGATGCTTAATCATATTATTTAGTAACATCAATGGATTGAACATGCATTTAGGGGGCCAATGGGCCCTCATATAAGATGTCACTGGTGTACTTTCTCCCTGAATCTTGTGGAAAATCCTTGGACAGCTTTACAACACTTACCTTTAACCCTTATTCTGACCGCCTGCTTCTCAGGCCAGATATATTTTCTTTGGAATATATTATGACTTATCTAAACAACCACTTCAACTTAGCCATTCAGAGTCTTGCAGTGTAACCTGTGTTAATGACATGGCTTCTGGTTTTAACAGTAAACACAAATAGAAGGAAACCTTACACTCATTCTATGGTGGAGCCTAAAAAGAGTATTTAATAACATTATGTGGCAGAATTACTTTGTACTTTTGTATGGAATCCAACAGTAGAAACTGCTTAAGATAAAGGATGAGGTTTACCTACCAGTATTATAGGTTGGCAAAGACCCAACATTGGTTGGTAAAGGGAACATCATGCTACCTGCTAAGTATACTTGACTGCAGTGTTCCTAACTCATAGGGCATTAATGGCTGCACTTGTGAGGGAACTAACATGTGTAGGGGTGGGATTTAGCAAGCAGCTGTGAATCTTGCTTAGCAACTGACAGGATCTTTTTTAGAATACCTGTTGATAAAGTGTTAATCTCCATTGAAAGAGTTATGAATTCTAAAGAGTAAACTCTGAGCAGAGAGTCTTGGGGGAAATGGGAAAATCTTTCTACCCATAATTATTCCCTCAATCTAGCACCAAGAAGAGAAAGATATAGAGCATGTGTCTTGATAATCCAACTTTCTTAAACCCTTTGCAGATGCTAATACCTCCAAGCTCTTTTAAATTGCTAATCCTTAATAAGTGCTTCCCTGAGATAAGAAGGTCATTAAAGTCTGTGCTATTTTATATGCACAATTTCATTTACCAATTTCATTTACCCATTCTATTTGTATAACTTCCGGAAAATGATCAAAGTGTGCTATTGTTCTTCGTGTTCTCATTTAGAGGTTATAATTATCTGCATAAGAAATAAGCAAAAGAAACATGAAAAGGAATGTCCATTCACTCAGGACAACAAGTACAATAGCTTCTAGTATAAGCATTTTGCAGTAAGGAACAGTGCATTTAACATTCGAGATCCAATGTACATTATGACACTTTGTTTTCTTGCAAGGTACCTGAGAAAACAGCATTAGTGAATAAAGGTGAAGAAGTGAGTCATCTTGAGTTCTAACTCAAATCAAAACATAGTTGATCAAAGTGTGTGCCCTATAGTCTTCTTACTACGTGGTCAGACTTGCAGTTATGCACATGTCTCACATTTAATAGAACTAGTTAATTCAATATTATTGTCTTTCTACTAATGGAAGAAACTTCACACAAAATGCAGACCTGCCTAAGTAATTAATAGAGGTGCATAATTTCGTCATGAAGTTTGTTTGATCCTCATCTGGTCTTCACACCCTGGCATTAATCTCTCCCTAAACTAGCTATTCCTGTGGCCAAAATAGCATGCTGGGCCAAACAATGGTTGATGGTACATTAGATACTGAGGCTATGGACATGGAAGGAAGGGGTACAGACATAGCTAATACACAGTACAAATAGCTTTAGTGGGAAAAGTTCATACGTAGCTGCTCCACTTTGCTCAGTTATAAAAGCCCTGATTCTTGATACTATCACAATATGGTAAGTAAAATCTTGGTATTATTCTAGTTTTCAAATAGAAAAAGAGATAAGGAACAAAGACGATATGTCAGGATAAACCATTGAATTCATCCAGAAAAACACCAAGAGATATTTAAAAAGTAGACATGAATTCTGGGTTCAATTACCAAACTTTTAGGCTCTTACTTTTACGTCTCTAAATGTAAATTGCCAAAAGAACATAACATCATGTGCACTCATCAGTTCATTTTTTTAACAAATAATTTTCAGTGTTTAAGCTACTTCTATGTTGTTCTGGGTTTACAAAGATGAAAATGGATCCTACCTGTTATGAATATACTATATATAAAATAAAAATTAGAAATTAATAAAACTTAGGAAAGGTACAGTTAAAGAGAAATGGAAACAGTAGAGGAAACTTAAGGAAGACTTTATGACAGAAGTTGTATTTAGCCTGAAACCTGAAGGATATATGAAATTCAGATACATGCTGGGGTCAAATAATAAAAGTGGGGAGGAGGTAAAGGTAGTAAAATGTAGGGCATAATGGGAAAAAAGAATGTAAGTCATATATAATGAAAAAAGTGGTGCATTTTCTGTCCATCAGGGAATGCACATTCCTCAGATACACAGAAAATTCTGTATCTGGAAGAGTTTTTGAAAACAATTATCTAAAATTACCAATTACCAATAATTGACTCTGGAACCTAGGCACAGCTCCATCCCCATGTATTGCTGAACTGAGTATTATGAACTGAGAGTCCTAATACTTCACGTGTTACTTTTATGCACCATACTTAATAATGCATTTCCTATTAGATATTTCTTCTATAATAGTCAATATACAATCTCTTTTTTTTTAAAGATTTT